CTTTATATATAAATTATATATCCTATCCGAACTCATTAGTTTGAAGATATAATATAAGTTTTAAAATTTTGAAAATCAAATTTGATTACAATTGAACCTTTTAACCTTAAAAAAGATAACGAACATTTTTATTCATAAAATTATTTATTGAAATTAAATGAAAGTGAAACTGCATCATTTCCAATGATACATTAACTTGAATATATTGAGAGATCCAAAATACAAGTAAATACCTTCCTCTCGACCTGCCCAAATGCAATTATTATCATCACACTGATCATTAAACCAATACCCTTTTACTGGCCAAAAAACATCTCTATTAACTTGTCCATAGTTGCTGCTAAAATGGCACCAAAACAACGTAGAAGTCCAAAAATTTTCTTTAAAACTCCAGTTGTAATTATCTCTAGTGCGGAGTACATGCTCGCCCAGATCGTCATTTGCTGACTTGCAATGAACAATTAAAGTTGAAGCAGTCATTCCATTTAAAATAGTCACTTTCCATCGAGAGAACGATAATTGTAACTTAGATTCTGCAAAACCAGACTTCATCATATTGTTCGATGCCAAGGTAACCAACACGATTAAACAAAATATGCTTAGAGACTTCATTTTCTTCTCAAAGATAGTTCACCCTTTTTTACAAACGTAATTGGATTCTATCTCTTATATATACATAAATATAGTCAAAATGAGTGGTACATAGTTATATTTAAACACAATTAGTTAAAAGTGTTGTGTAAATTTTGGTTATTACAACATATCTTCCATGACAAGGTGGATGGTCACCTAAACTTTCTTAATTTTCTCAGTACTCCTCCCTGTTACCTTTTGTAACTGATTTTTTATTTTATTAATTCCTTTTAGGTAAAGTTTAAAGCTGGACCATTCATTATTTAGAATTAGGTTCACTTTTAAAATGAAAAAGAAATTAAGAAAATAATGATAAAAGATGGTTCAATATTTTAAAATAAAGTTTTTCTGGCCTCCCATGGTAACGATTCAGATTTTTCATTTTTGCCTTATTTCGTTAAGATTCTATTTTTATTTTTAGGTATGACAAGATATTATGTTATGCATTTGTTCTCGTCCAAAAAGTTGCCATTTTCAACCAGGAAGTTACACCTTAATGGAAAAGTCAACCTTTTATATTACTATATTCAACTCTTTTCCTTTCTTGAAAAACGACTTTTGCTCTCCAAACTTGTTTGTGTTTTTTAGGGTATCTGAGAGTACGGAAAAATCGAGTGTTAGCCCTAAAAACGTGTGGGTGGTTCGCTGGGTAGTTTTCTTGTTCAGCGAGTTCTCGAAACCGATTGTGTTGCTATTTTGGAGGAAGAGTTGAGTGGAAGTTAACATCGACGTCAGAATCGCTGTGTCAAAGAAGGAAAACCGTCGGAACGAAGGAGGAGGACGCCACATACCGTCGTCGGAAACGGAAGGGATTGCGTCGTCAGCGTCGGCGGCGGCGGCACATCAGATTAGGGTTTTCGTAAGGGATCGGGCGAAGAAGACGCAAAGTCGGGTCGGGTTTCGGCCCTGAACCGGCCCACGAAACGAACGCGGGCCCTGTGGGTTTCAGCCCAACATGGACGTGTGCTGCAGCCTTGGTCTCGACTCCGCACGCGTGCTCTCAGCTCGGCTTGACGTGTACGGCGGCTCAGCTCCAGTAAAACTCGCTGCTCGGCTCCATCAAATCCCACAGGTTGACTTGGCGGCTTAGTTGGTCGACTCGGCAGCTTGGCTTGGTGACTCGATATCATTATAATATATCGATTCCAAGGTTTTCAACCCTTCCGAAGCTGTTTCTGCCCTTATTTTTACCATCCGAGGTCAGTATGGTTCCTAAACGTTAAAGACAGATTAGATCAGGGTTTACTTTGATAAATAGCACGAGGTTTAGCTAGGGTATGTTATGAAAGGTTCCTAAGTTTTTATGTGGTTATCATAGGACGTATTTAACCATTGGGATTAGCTCGCTGTGAGTGACTTCAACCAAGACCATTGAGGTAAGTGACTTTACTATTGGAGTTAGCTTACTACGTGTTGTATAATGGTGCGTGCCATGTGGCCCCTACATGCACCATATTTATGTGATATGATTATGTGAGAATTGTGTTGACGGTAGATTGTGTATGTTATGTGATGTATGAATTATGTTGACTGTTGACTGTTTATGTTATGTGAAGTTATGAATGCAATGTTAGTATTATATGCCATGAATACGTTGATCGATGTCATAGATACACGTAAAATTACGAGTCATGTCATGAGATGCTTATGCAACTGGAATGTACTTTCATGTTATGTAATATGCCATGTAATGTAAGTCATGGGAGATGCCATATAATGTAAGAAACGTATATGCGACGTTAGCACTGCTTATGTATTGCCATGTTAGATATGTTAAGGGACCTCATGTATATATGTATGTCACATGCATCGGGATTCTTCCCCTTTCTGTTACGAAAGAATGAAATACGATATTTATGTTCCCCATGATATCATGTGGGCCCTTTTCTGTTTTGTGGTGTCCGACTACGTGTAACACGTTGTGCCTGACTAAGTCAGGCCCAGGGGGTATGTTTACGAGCCCGCCTGGTGGGTCTATGTACACGTACATGGGCCGTGTGTGAAGGAGTACCACACACCCAACCCTACCCAGAATAGGAAAGCGCCCAAGGCTATGAAAAGTTTATGAAAAGTTAGGTCCCGCTCATATGTTGCACGTGTTTGCATTCCTAACTCCAACAGTGGGGTGACTTACTGAGTATTTCATAAAATACTCAAGCCACGTGCTACCTACATTTTTCATGTAAAGGCAAGGCGCTAATGTACATTTGATCTGTGTAGCTGAGGACACCATGGAAGTTGGAGAGGGAATATTTTTAGGAGTTTACCTTTATTGGACTGTTTTAAGTTATAACATTGAGTATTGCTTTATTTAGATTCATTTTTAAATTTGGTTATTGAAGGTTGTTTTGGATTTAGGAAGGTTTAGGAAAGACTTCTTTTTGTTTACACTGTTATTTATGATGAGGTTCTGCATAATGAATTATGTTGCATGGGTGACATCACTAATTAGGTTTAGAAAATTAGGGCATTACACGAATATTGTGTCACTCCTAAAATTATATTTTATTTAATTACATATATAACCAAAATATTATCACAAAATATTTTTATAGTCATTATATAGATTTATTGGTAAAAATTTTAAAAATATGTTTCTCACTTAAAGTAAGATTGAGAATTAGGAATTTTAAAAGTTACCTAACTTGTATTAGATATTTTTAAAACTTGCCGGATCAATGCTAAAATCACTTGCGGCTTCTAAATCTTGAACTACATTTCAGTTCTCCTTGGTGCATTGGTTGATAGAACTGAAATCCCATGAGTCCAGTTGTCTGAGCTTGAATTCGAGCCAATCAGCATGGGTACGTTCTACTCCAATTGGATTCATTTTTATTACTTTACTAATTTTAGTTTCTTTTATATATTTTTTAAATTTCTCATACCTCAATATTTTATACTATTTTTAGACTATTCATTCACTATATACTATTTTTAAATACATATATTATAATATGAATGAGTTTCTTTTAAATTTTAATAATATATTTTATTGAATAGGATTTATACCTGCATTTGGGTTATTTTAAAACAAAAGTATATAATGTTCAATATTCATAGAATATACATATATTTGAAAGTATATAATGCTCCGTGTTCATCAAAAGGAGTCAAGTCATTAACATTGAAAATAGAATGTACTTAAAATTCTCCGAGAAGATCAATTTTATAGGCAATTTTATTAATTCTTTTAAGAACTTGATAAGGGTCATCCCCTTTGATGTAACTTGTTCTTTCTTTGAGATGTGAATCGCTCTTTGTGAAAATGTATCCAAAGCCAATCACCGGTTGAAAAATAATTTTCTTTCGTTCTTTGTTAATTCCTGAAGCAACCCTTCACCTCTTTGCGCAATACTTTGATCAAATTTGTCTTACTTGTGACTGGTTCACCCACAAAAAAATATTAGAAGGAATAGGAAATAAAAATATTAGAAGGAATAGGAAATAAATCAAGAAGCGTAAGTGGAATAAATTCGTAAACAACTTCAAAAGGAGAACAATGAGTGGTACTATGAATTGCTTGCTCTACAAATGACAAACTTTCGTCTCAAAACTTAATATTCTTAGAAATAAATCCCATTAGTCTATTAGTCTTAGGATGACATGTAGTTGAAAACAACAACTTGGTACCCAACTTACCCTACAGTACATTCCAAAAGTGACTTAAAAGTTTAACCTCCCTATCTCTAACAATTATTCTTGGATTTCCATGTAATTTTACTGCTTCCTTAAAGAATAAGCTAGCAACATGCTTTGCATATCCCTAAACAATTATTCTTAACTACAAAACTTGTGAACATAGTGCTTCATCTTTGGTCAATTGAAGTGTTCATGCAATATATTATAAGTTTTATTAATCCCAAAATGTCCCATTAAGCCACCACCAAATTAACTAGCTCCAAAGATAAACTAACAACCCTTGCTAAACCTGTCAAGTAAGTGACTCTATTATTTGCTTGGTTGAATGAATTGTATTGCGCATTATAACGTATACGTGTGTCCCTTGAGCATGTCATAATTATGATTGTTATGCTATCCAATGTTGTGTTATGTCATGTTTATAAGCTAGACTATAGTGTGACTATACTATGTTATAATAATATGTTATTATGATGATAATCTATGATGTGTTATGACGTGTATGAAAGATTTTGTAAGAATTATGTCTACATAATTATGTTATTAATGGAATGGAGGTTTGACTTGCATTATAAATTTATGTCATTATTTTAAGGCATGGGAACCTCATGAATTTATGTGTGTCATATGCATCGTGATACTTTTCTATTATGATTAGTACGAATGTGTACTTTACGACTTACGACAATTATGTTCATCACGATGTTACGCAGGCCCTTTCCTCCATGGTGTCTGAAAGAACATTAGCGAGTGCTAGTCCATTGAGACAGGCCTAGGCAGTACATGAGCCCTCAGGTGGGTCCTTGTGCTCGTGGTTTGGTCGTGCGTAGGAAAGTACTATACATCCAACCTTGCAGGAATTGGAAAGCTACCTGAGGCAATGCCATTAGAACCTATCATGTCACATGTGTTTGTATTTCTAGACACCAAATGTGCAGTTACTTACTACATATTTCTTAAACTACTTAAACCACATAATACTCTTATTTTTCAGGTAAAGGTTAGGCACCAAGGTACGGATGGCGACGCCGTGACGAAAGCCATGGAACTAGAGGTAGGGTAGACACAATTTATGTCTATTTAGTAGTCCTTAGGTTAGTTCGCGTCAATGTTTTTATTTTTCATTATTTTATCCAAACTTCACCTAATTTATTTTTCGCATTATTGTTTTAAAGATTTTATTAGGAACGTGGGAGCCCATGACACCTTTTATGAAATATTTTATATGAATATTCTGCGTACACATTAATCATGTCACGTATGTAATAACAACTTTATTGTAGTATGTCAGTGATCATATCCAGCTCGATTTTCCACAGAATTGGTGTTAAAAATTTCTAAAATTCTTCTAGTTGGACATAATTTCCCATTAAAATTAGGTTTATATCGAAATCGAGGGAAATACAGACAAATAAAGGTCAAACGAATGGAAAAAGAAGTATCACTCCGTTGGTTATGGACCAACATATGCACAAAGGGGTCCCATGCACAAGTATCATGTACGACAACATACGCACAGAGACGGTCGCATGCGTAAAGGTGGTATGAATCTCAAATTGGGTCAGGCGCATAAGGTGCGGGTCACGATTTGAGTCGGACACCGACAATCGAGTCTGAAATTTGTAACTTGTGTGTCCACTAGATGCTTGACGCTCTACCTTTCTCTCTTCGCAAACCGTCGCCCAAAAGTATACTTAACCAACTTCTCATGTTTTATGAAAAAGTAAAGAAAAATAGAATATTATCATAATTTTTAATTCTTAACTTTAATTTCAATCTCGAATAAAATATTCCATCAATATTATATTGAACAACTTTTTCATGTTTTAAGAGGTACATAAACTATACCCTCATTTCATACGAAATTCAAAGTTTTAAAGAAAACAATGAAGAAATAATTGAGGATTCAAGTTTAACTCTTCAAAAGAGTACCAACGATAATTTCAAAATTTGTTGGCCACGGCCTCCTATGAACTCTAGCCTTACCACTCAGATTAACCTTTTTTCTGCATAGAGATGACTCGTAAAGACAAAGTAAAAATTTTGGTGGCATTATTTCACATTCGATAAAACTTTTATTTCGTATTTGTTAAATTTTATTTTCCTCTCTTTAATGTTTCATAGATTTGTGAAAAATAATTATAATATCATATTAACTATCCTTTCATTTTCCTCTAAACTCCAACATTTTGGAATCTTAACTGTGATAACATGGATCAAGATCCATGTTCTAGTTCTCATCCGTAATTCTTTGTTCTTGTCTTTGTCCATTCTTGTTCATGGTTCTTGATCTTAGTTCTTGTTCTTATTTCTTGTTGTTGCTTCTTATTGTGTTTTTAAAACATTCCCCCTAAAATTTACGATACAAGACATGAACCTGATAACCTGTGTCCAAGACTTCATGCATTCCAAACAACGCAGTTTTAAATTACGTCCAAAGCTTCAAGTGTTTCAAGAGACACAATCTAAACATGTATCAAGGGCTTAATGAATTCTTTGCGACACAATCTGAAACCTACACCAAATGATTATTATGTTTCATGTGGTGTAATTTGAAACCTACGTCTAAGGCTTCATATGTTTCAAGTGACGCTGTCTAGAAACCTATGCTCAAGGCTTTCTACATTCCAAACGACTTAGTTTGAATGCTTATGCTCAAGGCTTCATATATTCCAAGTGACGTACTTTGAAACTTGCATCGAAGACTTCTTACACTTCAAGCGATGTAGTTTGAGTCATGGTTTACCATGAGAAAAATAGGGGTTTCTTTTGTTTCGGAGTCTTAAAACCTTGGTTCTTTGTTATTAGCATTCTTTGTGGGCATTGTTTTGGTGTGTGATAAGCTTACTTAATACATGTCTCAGGTCTTCTAATTACTTAAAAGTCAAGGTCTCAGGAGGAGCTCATTCTAATTTAGGTAAGCATCTAAATTACTTATTAATCATAAAGATAGTAACCACTTTGCTTAAAGGCTCATTATAAAGTTTATCAAAAGACAGTAACTTTAAAAAAAAACAAAAAACAGAAAGACAGTAACTTTAAAAAAAAACAAAAAACAGAAAATCAAGTGGCATTTCCATAATGATTATAAAGTTTATCAATAGATAGTAACTTAATAAATAGTAACTTAACAAAAAATCATTCCACTTTCCACTAGAGTAAGGCAAAAAGAAAGATCTCGAATACGACGGTTTTTCAGGCGTATAAAGTGGCATTTCCATAATACCCATATGTTTCAAATATATATTTTTTAATTAAAAAAAAAAACTGTTATCAAACATGATTATATTTTTATTATAAACAATAAGAAGAACTTGTTACCGAACATGTCGATAATTGCTCTCATTTACAACAAGAATATAAAATGTTGAAACGTCATCCTTGTTCATCAACTTCAAATTTAAAGGACTATTACATTACACATTAGAACACGTGTTACTGCCAATGACAAATGGCTAACAATAGCTCCCGTCGGTGATTTTTGAAAATAACTAAAATACTATTAATAATAAATAAAAACGTTTGTTAATATGCTGGTTACCTATCTCAATACAACGATAACATGTTTCTTTCATTTCCGTGGGAGTAATTGAGAATTAAACCTAATTTTACTGGTATAAAAGTGGAACAAACTAAACTCAAATATTCAATTCTTTACAAAATTAATTCATTTTCAACCCTCCGTTAATAAACTCAGTTTGACCCATAAATTCTCCTACTAAACAAATATTATGTTTTGGGTCAAAATATTGTTTAGATACATTTTGACCATTTGTAGATAAGGTATGAACTACCGTAAGCATAATTTAGTAGATACGGTATGAATTAAGATCACAAAGTTTGATGGTTCAATTTCTTACTCGTAAAATGTTGAACTTAAAAAAATGAAAATTTAGAAAATTTAGAGATCTATTAGACATTGACTTATGTTTATGGACCAAATAGATATAATGTTGAAAGTTTGTTGGGGACCAAACTTATAATTTAGATAAATTTAAATGTCAAATAAGCTTTTAGTCTTACATGATCTTATATGCTGTTTATATGTATGTTATTACTCCATCCAATAAAAATATTATTAAATTTATTATGATTTTATATTTTTTAATAGAAATTATATTAGGAGAGGTAAATAGAGGAGTTATTTTAGTTTTACTTAAACCTCGACCAATTTGATTGTTTAAGGGCCTTAATTCACGGTTCTTTGAGTTTTTCTTTTATGTACCCTTAATTCATACTTGGTTTGAGATTCATACAAAAATCCAGGTTATTGCTACAAGTTTTTCTTAAGAAAAGTCCAAGATGGCTACTTACCTTATCGTTGATGTTTGGAACCTCTGTTTTTGAGCTTTCGAATTCAAATTACCTCAAATTTTCTTCCACGTTTTCCTTATTGTGTACAATTTCTGGAACCATAAATTTTTTCATAAGAATCGGTCTGGAAGGAAGAGCTAGGGATTGATTTACAATGTTTCCTCCCTCCGTTTCTTCATGAAAATAAAGTTGGTGTTACAAGGAAGAGCTAGGGATTGATTTCATACCTTCTCGTGGATTGTAGTCTAAGATATCTGCCTCCAAAGTTCGTCTCAAATCTGTTTTCTTGTGATTCATTATTGGGTAGCCGATTCTAGGAGTTTTCAAGGCCCGATTGTTTCATAGAACCTCTTCTTTATCGTTTCCTCAACCTAAAGAATTTGTTTGGAGGAACGTCTTTTTGCATGATACCTTAATTTTGAAAAATAGTCCTCTGTCTACAACTCGTCTAAAAACGTGAATTCCTACATCAAAGTTACTCAACTTGATCCTCTTAATCTAACGAAATTTTTAATTTTAAAGAAAAGGGATCATGGATAGGAATTCAACACTTACCCCTGAGGTTATTTTTCTTCGTGATCTTCAATGAAAATACTTCTTGGAGGTGCAAAAACTTATTAGAATTTGTCTTGGTCAACGAACTTGTGTGTAAACTTGGATTTAATTTTCAAACTTACTTTGAAGTTATTCAATGGCGGATCGAATTTGGAGAATGGTTTTTAGACATTTTCAATGCTCGATTCCTTCATAAATCTTGTTTGTAACCTTGTTTAGAAGCTGTAGGAACAAGTTTAAAGGGGAATAAGGGAGAATTGCTCTCCAATTTGGAAGAAATCTGAGAGTAGGAGACCCAAAATCTAAACCTTTATTGCATGTGATTGAGGGATGGATTCATCTTGATTCTTGTTCTTGATTCTTGTTCCATACTATTGCCTCAACTTCAGACTTTATAGGAAAAATTTACACCGATGGTGAAACCTCCATCATTGTCATAAGTTAGAGATTAATTTTCTAGATAATCCATCAGAAATATCCTCTTCGATAAGTGAGCTATTGACTTCTAATTTTAATTCTGATTTATTATTGATGTGGTTGATATGTAACATTCTAGACTTTGTCCAATTTTGGAGGGATCCCATGTTGATTTTAGAGACTCAATAGATTGTGGGTAGAAGGTCATAGTGGAAGTTCTGAGGTGGAAAGAAGGGCATTTTCATAATTATCCATATTTTAAGGGTTATTTTAAGGGTTACTTTGGTAATGTGTCATTTTTTTTAATATTTTGTTATTATTTTTCTCAAAAAAAATATAATTTTTTTCTAAAAGTTTTTCATCCTCAGCTGGTCATTTTTCCTTTCTTTTTCCAATCATTTTTTAAATATCTTAAATCCTTAAATTAATTTTTAGGGTGAAATTTCTGGTTTAAGACAGTGTCCTTGCATAAATGCATTAAATTATTCTCTTGGTTTCTTTAGGTTAGTTTTATCCTTACATTGAGTTGTTGCACTCGTGTTTTATGATACATAGTACTTCTTTACGTTATGCTACACACACCATGTTAACATGTTTATATCAAGATTATGAAATACTGTTAAATAAAATATGTTATTCATGAAAGCTATCTTATGAAAGAATAAAGTTCTGACCTGCATCACACGTATATGCCAAGATTTATGTCAAGTTTTTTTTTTGTGGCGTGAGGGTACAATAGTTAAAGGCTAGGTCAAATGATACGTATACGAACTCACATTGGAGTCCATGCAGAAATGCAAAGGTTGTATGTACCGCAGTAATTCGCATTCAATTTAAGCTCAAACTTAAAAGTGAGACAAAGACCATGATGATAAGGAAAGGACAGGTCTCAATCATGATTACATATAATTGCATTTCCTAATTCCAAGAGTGAGTTTACTTACTAAATATATCATAAAATACTCAAATTATGTTCTACTCTTATTTTTCAGGGAAAGGTAAGGTACCCTTGTACGGATGACGACATTGCTGTGAAGGTTATGGAATCGAAGCTAGGGTAATTGTATTCTTCTTTAAATTGTAGCACTTAGGTTAGGTATTATTTCGTTGGTTTAAAGTTGATATTATTTTGTTTCCGCTATTTCAACAATGATTACTTTTAATATAAATTATTTTTATGAACTTTTGAATCCATGTCAATAACTAGAAACTAAGCAAACCCTCAAATGTCTTAGGACATAGACCATCGTTCCACCTCAGATAGCATAATTGAAAAAGTTGTATTAAACAAGAAAGCAACAACAAATCCAACAAACAACATGGCCAATGGAACAAACCATGATC